ATCAAGTCCTGGAGCAATCACAAGCACTCATTCAGCCTGCAGCAAACCTCATACAGGGCTGCATAATTCTGACCCAATCACGTCCAACCATTCAAAATATGTATTCCTCATGTACCTAGTCACACTGCCTCATGTAGTGCCCCCCTTGGGCCCAAAATAATTCACTTTTGTCTATATAAGGAGGCTCTCCTCCCCCCCCATTTGTAATTTTCTTTTCCTCAGCAGAGTACTGCCCTCAGCAGAGTACTGCACCAGTGTTTCCCCTATAACATTACAAACCTGCTCACCATTATTATTATACCCTATATATATTTTACATACATACATACCAACCACCATTGAAATTACAATTAGTACACACCTCTCAACACTTATATAATTACCCAACCCTTATCTTTGGAGCCCCTTCATCCAACTTGCACCTGGTTGAAGCCTTGGCCCTTTCAGTACATATTAATTACATATAAATACCTTACACAACATTCCATCCACGGCTCAGAGGACAGTTATCTTTTGATAAAACTCCACTATCACTATATAAACCTGCCAATCTGAGATTGGTGGGCTTGTTTTAGTGTCTAGTGAACCAGGAAAGGCAGAGGCAACCTCACACATCCCTTTCTGCAAGGCCAAGAGGGGTTCCTCTCAGCCTTGAGACTGTACAAAGTCCCAAGGCCGGGATGGACCCCTCCTGGCCTTGAGAGTGTAGAGTCTTGGGGCTGGGAGGGGTTCATTCCAGCCTCCAGCATCTTTTTTCTTTTTTTTTTCTTGAAAAAAAATCACACTCTGGGCTATCCTATAGGACCCACCCAGTCCTCTGCTGCTGGCGTGCAGTTTGGCATGCGCAAGGGGGGGGAGGCATGCGCTTATCATTCCCCATTTTTGAAAGAAGAAAAAAAAGAAAAAGAAAACAAAGTTGGAATAATTTCCAAAAACGTTCAAATGGATGAATTCCCATTGCCGTATACGACCCTCCCAGAATTTGATTTACACCCCCTAGATCTTAATTTTTGGTATAACAAATTTTTTTTTTTTTCACAAGCCTTGTGAAGATAGCTCTCATGTGAGCTGGCTGGAGTTATGATTGAGGTGTTAATTTAGGACTGGGGAGGGGGGGGCTTAAAAAGCACTCTAAATGGCAACCAGAAGTCCTCCAATATATTTCAAAAGACTTTACAATCAGGGCCTATATGTAAGATCAGGAGCATTTCCGCTCTCCTCTTCCATCTCCTGCCAATAGAGTTATTGACTTGCACAGCTGCATGAATAGATATAGTGAGAGAAGAGACTCTTGATTTTGGTTTCAAAACTGAGATTCTCATCCTTGGTCATCCCATGGCTTTTACAAACACCCATGATAGTTATCATGCAATGTGTCATATCAATCAGAGTTGTATAATTGATATTGATGTATTTCCTCATCATCCTGCATCCCAATCAACCAGCAATTCCTATGAATACCAATCAGACAGAAATAAATCCTCATAATCAGACCTGTTTGAAAAAAAAAATCAAACCACAGAGCTTGCCATAAGATGGTGTAGCAGGTTGAGATAAATCCATTTATTGAATGTCTAGGGAGTAATTTCAAGAAAACTTAAAACCAGAAACTTTTCATAAATGATAAATTGGGTGAATGATTTTGAATGTATAAATCACAGTATAAAGATCAAACTTGTATTCCTGCTTTTGGCAGCTGGAAGAGAGCTAAACTGGTGGATGTTTCTGAGATCATAGGCTGAGTCTTATTTGATTTCCCAGAAAGAAATGTATCTTCTCACAATTGGAAAACTTCCAATAAATTGATGGAATCCAAGAAGTCTGAGGCAACAATCCTGAGGTTGTAGGAGTTGGAAAATTTGGAAGGACAGAATTTGTATGAGAAAGAAAATCCTTTGAGCCAATGTTTTGAAAATTTAGAAAATACTCAGCCTGAGGCTGTTCTTTCAACTTGTGGTTATTCTAATAATGTGTCAAGTTATCATTCACCTGACCACTTCTTGGAGCATATTCACCAAGGGTGAATCCAGCCATTCCAAAACATGAATAAGTTTATGTTTGGAGATTGTCAATTGAAAGAGTAGAAGATAGGATGATTATAATTCTATTTCCTGTTCAAATTCATGAAGAGCTTTGTCAAAAACTTTAGTAGCCAAGGAGAATTGTTCTCTTAATTCGAGAAACCAAGTTTTGGAATGATTCCCAGATATAGGAAGCTCCAGCTCTATGCCAGTTGAAGGAACCAGATAGAAGCACAACAAAACTAGGGAAGAATCAAAATACCTCCAGAGTCGCTCGCGCAACATCTTGACGCTCTTTAACTCATCCATAATCCCTTCGCAATCATACATATAGAGCAAGTCGTTCAGGATATTGTGGATACTGCAATCAAGAGAGCTCAGTTCACCCTGTACTGATTCAATATCCATCGAACTCATCTTAAGACCAATCGTAAATGGTACTTGACTTATCGGGTTCGATAGCTTGTTGAATAGGATTCTGACCAATTTGATCAGTGGTATGGCTGATTGGGCGAGTTTAATGAGCAATGATCTCAGAAAGGACTCTTCAGATGAGCAAGTCGAACAGCTTGTATCAGATTCATCATCTTCCTGATCGATTGAAGAGTCAGTGTCGGATCCGGTGTCTCGATAATTAGAATCGATTTCAGCTTGATCGGTGTTGGTAGAATGATTGTCATCGGCAATGGCTTTGGAAGTGCTTGGAATTTCCGGTAGGCCGGCATCAATTAGAAGGCGTTCCTCTTCAGTTGTTGGATTGATTCGTACAGCGATTCGCTTCAGAAGACAATTAAGATCATTAGATTTTCCTCTCCATTTGTCTTGGAGAATATTGAAATCAGATCGCTTGGACGATTTGATGATCGTGTCGATGTAATTGGAAGATCGGGCTATTCCATCAATCAGCTTCCCCCCGTGGGCAATTAGATCAGATCGATCGTTCAAGCGAGTCGGATGGTCTTTTGACCGGAGTAGCATGTATGGGATGTGACGCTTGAACAGTACCCAGATATGTTCACTCATCAGATGATTGATTTTCTCTATCAGAGAGTGGCATCTGAATTCTTTCACGCCACCGTAATCATGGTCGTATTTTTTGTGTACTTGCGATGAACAGGCAGCGATACCAGCGATAGAGTAGAGAAAGGCATTGATTTGCTTAAAGGTTTGGCCGAGTCGGAATACCGTTTCTAGAATACCAAGAAGATTCGGTTTTGGATCTTTCGACAGGTCGGCTAGGTCCAATGACTTCAACAGATCGGCAAGTTGCTGTTTTAATGAGGGTAGAAAACACGTTTGTAATTGAAGCAGGAGAGCTTTCCGATCATCGACTTCATCTGTTGACATAGCTTCTCGTCTAAGAGCTCTGATGTTATCATGCTCCCATGTCGCATCGTCAGCATAAAGGGGTGGCCTTCTTATAGGAGCAAGATGGTCTTTGTAGTCCCATCTTTCAATCGAGCTGTTGAGCCCCTGGACGATTTGATCTAGAGAAAGGCAAATCAAACATTTCCAACTAAGTCTAATGTTTTTATTCGCTTGGAGTTGGATGAAATGTAGTAATTAGTTACCAATTGTTTCACTTGGACTTGGTTCGTAATCCGACATTGCAAGTTTCGCTGTTGTAGTTAATCAACCGAAGTCTCCTGAGCACGAATGATGTTGCTAATAGGGCAAGAACCAATGGTGAATGAAGTCGACGCAGAACGAAGTCGATTGGGGAGGGATCTAATCTTATGGTCGACAGAAGGATATCGGTCTCTGATGGATGAGAGAGCTGAATGAGATGACAAGGATGGAGTCAGTGGAAGTGGATGAGGAAAAGCGAGAATGACTTTACTTGTTCAAGTCGAAAGAGTGACGAGCAAGCTGAGTACAGCAGACTGACTACCCAAAAGCCATCTACGCTGGGCAGAAACCAGGTTAAAGCCCAAAATTAAGGGCGCGTACCACAGCTGCCCGCGGGCTTCCAATTTCCAATTTTTTGGGCAGTAAACGTTTTTGGCCAAAAACGCGTACCACAAGCGTCAGTTTTTTTGATTACTTGACTAATCGTTTTTTCACATTTGCTGCCGTTTGAGGAAACGGCCCCACCCCCGTTTCCAAAAACGGACTGTGCCATCTTGTCTCCAAAGCAACCGGCTCATATACACCATATAACCATATATACACTCTACAGATGATAGATCCTACCCTCTTCGAGATATCTCCGCCAGCTAGGGTTGACGGCGCCACCCCTAGGTGCGCGCCGATGTGCGGGCGCCTCGCACCCTCGCCCACGGCGCGCACATTTTTCCAAAAAAGGGGGGTGTGCGCGCACTTCTAACCCTAATTTTTAGAGGGGGAGGGCTGGAGGCCGAGTGACTTTTCCAGTTTGAAAGGGCAACCCTGAAAGCTCCGTAAGCTAGTCCGGGAGTATGTCACCGCTTTGCTATGAGTTTCTAGCTTTTTTTTCACACATGTGAGTGCGGAAGACGTCTTGAGGCTTGCAGGTTGTATTGAGATTGGTACTGCCAATTCCAAATGTAGTTCTCTTAAACCTCCAACTTTTTATACAATAATAATATGTACTATGTACATCATCTTTCTATATTTTTGACATGCCACCCACAAGAAATACAAGCAATTCAGAGCTGCAAGGATGGTCTAAGCCAACAAAATATCATGGTCTGCTATGGACTGGATTCTTAATGTCAAACATACGGACGGACCAATCTCGAAGGTGCCAAGCTAAATGTACCTACTGCCAAAGGGTGTTCAACCAAGCGAAGCCTGCCCAGCTTTTCTCTCATATCAAGGAATCTTCATTCACTTGTAAATAGCCTAACAACAATCCAAATACAACGGAATACAACGTATATATTCTTTTCATTGAAAAAAAAACCTCGCCTAGGCTCGCCGCTACTGCGCCTGCCAAAGGCGCGCACTTGGTGGTAGGTTTGTAGGCGCCCACTGGCGCGCACATTTTCAAATGTGGCGCCGTCAACCCTACCGCCAGCTCAACCATCCGATGGGTTGGATGATCAACTACCACCACCACTCTTGCTTTCACCAGACAACGATTCCAATTCAAAGGCCTCAAAAAAAAGACAACTAGCTACGAATACATCAAAAATCACCCCAAAGCCATCTGGCACCACCCCCAAGCCATCTGAAACCACACAAAAGACACCAGCAATGACCTCAAAAACACCAGCGCTCAATTCCAAATCGCTCCAAGAATCGGCCGCATCTGATGGGAACGCTCCACACACTTGGACTACGCTCGAGAGATGTAAACTTCACGATGAAATGTCTGCTGGACATGCAACCGATAATGGAAACTTGAAAAAGGAGGGTTGGACCGGTGTGATGAACGGTCTAAATGATTACTTCAAGTTGAACCTCACTCGTGATCAAATCAAAAACCAGAAGAATGCCATCCGATCACTCTTTTTCGACTACAAGTTCCTCTGTGAACAATCGGGATTTGGCTGGGACGATGAAAAATTCACTGTCACCGCCGATCAAAGGACCTGGGACGAGCTCATTCAATCTCATCCAAGAAGAAACTTTGGCAGGTTGAAAGACAAGCCCTTTCCACTCTACGAGCTTGCAGAACGCGTTTTTGTTGGAAACTTTGCGACAGGTGATAGCGTTAATAAACATGTACCCCCAGATGACGATCCAGCTCAGGTAGTCACTAATCCGGCTCCCACCTCTGCTTCCAAACCAACGGCTTCAACTTCGACCTCAAAAAAGCGAAAGGTGAAAAGCAAGAAGGAAGTTGTGGTGTCAAGTTCTTCCGACGACGACGATAGCGATGCTCAAGTTTCCAAGAAACCAAGCCGGTCAAATCAGACGGATTCCAACAAGCGTGTCCGGGAGACGAAAGGAACCGTTGTGACTAATAGCATTGATGGGTTGATCGGGGCCATCAACCATGCTAGTGACTCGATTTCCAATCTTCACGGTCAATCCTCAACTTCCAAAGACGATCGATCGAAGAAGGATCAACGGTCGGAAGCCTCCTCATCTCACGAATCACTCAATGCGCAAGCGCTGAAATGTCTCTCAGGATACTTTCTGAACAAGGTTGACGATGAAAAATACATTTGCTACGTTTGGGTCCTTGAAGACAAAAAAAAAGCAACAACTTTCTTATCGCTAGCTCAAACCTCCTCCCAAAAGATTTGCCAGATGTGGCTGGACAGCGAAGTCAACGGTCATTAGAGCATATCCACCGCGGGAGGTAAACCGGGTTCGTATCCCGCGTCTAGCAACCCGAACCCAAAAAACACCACCCACCCGGGGTGCCAAACTCAAAAATATCTTACCTCCGGAGGTAAAAAACAAACTCGAGTTGCCACATGTGGCAACCCTGTAGCAACTCGATAGCACCTGTGAAAGCTAGGAAATCCATGACAGGCATCGTGTCTGCCTTGCATGACAGCTTCAACACCGTTCCCCCTTCCCCCGATTCAAGATTGTTCCACCAATACATCGTCCCTCCATATCCGGTTTCAATACATCGTCCCTCCATATCCGGTTCCCCCTGGTTGAAATGGATTCAACAATTGATCCCACTCTTGGTAGGTGTTCCTTTTTTAATTCCTCTCTTCTTTTTTCATTTTTTATCTGATACCTTCTTTCTTCTTTCCAGCCACGATTGAAGTAATTTCAGGTCCAAAGAAGGTTATCCACTCGATCGAGGCCGATTCCGATGTTGAAATCCCTCCGTCAAAAAAAGTCAAAGGCACTCAAAAGAAAGGACCGAAAGAAATGACACAAGCACCATCTACTACAGCGACCAAGAAAACCACGAAAAAAAAGACGAAGACAACCAAAACACAGGAGTCTCCGAGTGACCCAGGAGAACCGAAGGCCCCTCGGACACGCTACCAAGAAAATGAGGATGTTCAAATTTGTCTTTCGTGGCTAGACGTTTCGCAAGATCCCCTCAACTCGACAAACCAAACTGCCGATACCTTCTGGAACCGCGTCGCCGAGCACTTCTCAAAGTCTATTGGAAGTGATAACCGAACAGGTAGTAGTATCAAGAGTCGTTGGCAGGTGCTCCAACAGCGGATCAACAAATTCTGTGGCTGTGTCAAGCAGATCGAGCACTCAAACCAAAGTGGGACATCAGCAGAAGATCGATTGAGTAGTGCGCTCAAGCTCTACATAGCTCTCTCTCAGCAACCGTTTTCCCACCTACGATGCTACAATATCCTCAACCTTGCTCCGAAATGGCGGGAACATTGCAGCGATCTCGAGAAGAAAAGCGAGCCAAAGATTCCTAGTAGTTCCGTCGATTCTGGAATATCATCGATTGACGACAACGGACCGGCACTGTCTCTTTCATCCGATGCATACAATGACCCTGCGAATAGCGATGCTTCAACGATTCAATCTAACAAGACCACACGCCCAATTGGCAATCGGAAGGCCAAAGATCTTGCCCAAAAAGCGAGAGAAGATAAAAAGTTCAAGGACGACATCATCACCATCCATAAAGAGATCGCAGGCACCTCCCAAGCGCAAAACAAAATCCTCTCGGAGCAGAAAGACGCAATGGCCACTTTGGCCGACAATACGATCATGCAGGTTGATATTTCAAAGATTTCCGAGGCTAGCCGACCATTTTACGAGTGGCAGCAAAGGAAAGTGTTGGATCGGGTCAAGCGAGAACAAGCCGAGTACGAGAAAAAACTGAAAGAAGAGGAAGAAAACAAGAAGAAGAAAGAAATTGAGGACGCGAAAAAGAAGAAAGAAGAAGAGAAAAAAAAGAAAGACGAAGAGAAAAAAAATAAAGAAAAAGGAAAACAAGCGGAACCAGAAGAGGAAGAGGAGGACGAGGAGGAAGAAGAGGAAGAAGACGAAGAAGAGGAAGAAGAGGAGGAGGAGGAGGAAGAGTAGAAGATGATTCTTAGTTTGGAATGTTTCTCTCTGATTGGTTTTTTCTCTCTGATTGTTTTTTTCACTCTGGTTTATTTTTTCTTTCCAGTGGTTTTTTCACTCATTTGTTTTCTTTCATCTTGCACTAAAAAAATTTCTCTCCGATGTTTTTCTTTCTCTTCAATGGTTTTTTTTCTCTCCAATGGTTTTTTTTCTCTTCAATTGTTTTTTTTCTCTCCAATGGTTTGTTTTCATACTTGTGTTTTGATCACACTGTGGATCAAACATGCATATAAATTTTGATAAATAACAAGTGGGATTTTTTTCTTGATCAAAATCGTGAGATTTAGAGAATGAGAGCAACAATATATCAATCAAGACAAAGACAGCAAAATAAAAGAGAAAACAATCACGACTCAAGTTGTGAATGATAAAATAAAATATTCTTAATTACTAGAACCTTTCAGAGCCCATAGGTGCTTTACAAGGTCGTCTCGGAGTTGAAAGTGAGCTTCAGAGTCTCTTAATTTGACTGAGTTGGCAATGAAATCAGAGAAATTTGCAGACTCATTTCGGCTGGGCTGAACTAAAGTTGGATTCCCATCGTATATGAATTCTTCATCCATTCCACGTTCATCGTCTATGATCATGTTGTGCAATATGACACATTTTGTCATTATCTTCTGCATGTTTCCATGACTCCACCCTCTTGCTGGTCGAGATACAATCGCAAATCGAGCTTGGAGGACGCCAAATGCCCTCTCAACATCCTTTCGACACGCTTCTTGAACCTTAGCAAAGTGCTTTTTCATAACAAACAACGTAGATGTCAGTACATGAGAAAAGTTATGATAGCTTGATTGTCTCACCTTCTTTTCAAGCCCTTGTGGGGCTGAGATCGTCTTGATAAGGGTTGACCAATCAGGGTATATCCCATCAGCCAAGTAGTATCCTTGATCGTATTTGTTACCGTTGATAGTATATTCGATTCGAGGGGATTGACCGTTGAGTAGATTCTTGAAGAGAGGAGATCAATCGAGGACATTAATGTCGTTATGTGAACCTGGAAGGCCGAAGAAAGAGTGCCAGATCCATAGATCATGGGAGGCCACTGCTTCGAGGATAATTGTTGCAACCTGAATGAAATCAGATCACCTCATCAATAAATGATTCACGGACGCATAATTGTATTTGATGAGAAAAGGAATCACCTTTTCTTTGCCTTGATATTGGCCCTTCCATGCTGCCGGGCAATTCTTCCAATGCCAGTGCATACAATCGATCGATCCAAGCATTCCAGGAAAGCCTTGTTGTGCATTCACAGTGGTCAATCGTTTGATATCTTCTTCAGTAGGATGTCGTAGGAACTCTTCACCGTATATATTGATAATCGCACTGCAAAACTTGTTCAATGACTCCAACGATGTACTTTCGGCGATCCGGATGTATTCGTCATTCATGTCTGCAGCACCCCCGTAGGCTAGCATTCTGAGAGCGGAGGTTATTTTCTGAACTGGGTGCAGACCGGGACGACCCAACGCATCCGGTTTCTTTTGGAAATATCGATCGTGTGCAGTCACTTGGTCCACAATTTTCATGAATAGTGGGCGATGCATTCGAAAGCGTCTTCGGAATAGATAATCAACGTAGACCGGCTCAGGCGCAAGGTAATCCTTGTAGAGTCGTTGGTATCCTTCTTCAAAACCTCGAGGTAAGTTTGGAAGACGTCCAGGTCTTGATCCGCCACGCTTTGGTGGTTCCTGGTTTGCATTATCTTCATCGTCCACAACGATATTGACTGTATCGGCTAGAATGGTTTGGATTCGTCGGTTTGTGGCCAGCACCGCTGATTGAGCATCAATCATACTTTGGATCAATCGAAGGTCCATCGTGTTTTCGATATGGGTAGCCAAGTGGTGAGGTGATGGTCGTAGATATGTTTGAGAGATCGGGGAGATGGAAGGAAACTGGAGGGGATATCGGGGACTGAAGAATCACAGATTCAAGTTTGATCATGTAGCAACCACGGGTGGGCAGAAATTCTGCGCGGGTTGCTACATGTAAAATCTGAGTTGCCATCGCGGGGATGTAGCAACCCAATTTTACCTCCCCCGGTGGATATGCTCTTAGTTGACAGTGACCAAGTTGGTTCTTTAGAATCACCCTTGCTTGACTTCTTGCCTCAACGACTCCGACTTCTTGCCTCGACAACTCCGACTTCTTGCCTCGACGACTTTGACTTCTTGCCTCGACGACATCGACTTCTTTCCTTGACGACATCAACTTCTTGCCTCGACTCTGACTTCTTGCCTTGACTGCGACTTTGTGCCTCGACATGTCCGACGTTCAACTGGGACATCTTGCCTTGACTCATCGGGCTCATATTTTTCTCTTATCTTCATTGATCATTCTTTGGCTCTGTTTCATCTCTTGTCTTCGCTCACCATCGGTCAATCTTTTTTTTTTTTGCCTCGGTCAATCAATCATGAGAAATCCTCCTCTTTAGCTTGGTCTTCTCATGTTTCTCACCCACTTGGTCAATCAAAAAAAAAAGTGTATGTTATCTTGTGACCCAGACACCATATTTGACTTTGTTCATGATGATAATGAGCGATTGCATTGATTATAAAAAAAATTCAAACAATCAATAACAAAAAATAATTGACTGTCCATTGATTACAAAAAAAAAGCAACTGGAAAGCACACTTGATCGATCGTGCTTTGATAACAAAAAAAAATGGAAATAACGATTGATCGTTCAGAACGATCGATTCATCCATGGATTACCAAAAATAAACCATCGCCAAGCACAATCGATCGTGCATTCATCACAAAAAAAAAGACAATTGATTGTTAAAAACAATCGGGTGTGCATTGATTATAAGAAACTATCAGAAAAACAATTGATTGATCGGACCGAGGTGAAAAAATGAAAAAAACACCGAGGTGAAAAAATGAAAAAAGAGCTACTATGACTTCCTTTGGGACGTGTATGAGATATACTGATCCCACATCTTGGTGGCAATCCGATCACGTCGTGCTTTCATTCTTGCATCCTCAACTGCAGGCGAGTAAACCGTGTCGGAAGGGCTTGATGAGTGGCCGCCTTCTTTTTGAACCTTTTCAATCTCTTCCAAGAGCGAGCCAATCGTTTCGTGTTTCCGGATGAAGTTCCATAGTACACAGAGTGAGTAGATCAACCTAATTTGTTTAGAGAGCTCGATTTCTGGTGGACTCTTCAGAATCGAGAACTTTTTCTTAAATACGCCAAATAGTCGTTCAACGATGTTTCGGAGGGAAGCGTGTCGCAAGTTATAAAGTTCCTTTGGATTCGCTGGACGAAGACCAGCAGCTGCTTGTTCTTTGAGATGGTATCGAACGGCTCGATAAGGAGTCATTAGCCCAGGCTGCAACCCATACCCTGCATCTGCAACGAAGTACTTCTTGTCGGGTATCTTCAATTTTTTTGAGGTTGCATCGTTAAACACCCGAGTATCGTGTGCACTACCTTCCCATCCAGCAAGGACATAGACAAATTCAAAATCAAAATTAACCGCGGCCAAAACATTCTGACACAAAAAACCTTTTCGGCATTGCCATGGAGATTGAATGTTCGCTGGGACATGTGCTGGAATCAGCACACCATCGATTGCGCCAAGACAGTTTTTGAATGGCGCCATTTTTGCATCGCTTTTAATACAGTCATGGAGTGCCGTCGTTGTTGAGTTGAATTTGATATATCGTGGATATAACGAGAAGAGGGCCTCTAATACCTCTTCAAAGTACCTTTTCCCAGATAACAAAGAAATGAATGCCATTAATAATTTGTATTTTGAAAAGAAGAAGATCTCTTGCTCACCGATTGATTGTGTATAAACCCCGTCGGAACTTCACTGCAGTTTGACGCATGGAGTTGTTGTATCGAGTAATATCAAGAAAAATGAGTACCTGTTCTTCAACGGTCACCGATCGTCCATCACCAAGGAGCTCTGCTTCTTCAAGTTCCAAAACGAGTTGATCGAAGGTTGTACGTTCAATTCCAGTGATCTCGCGAAAGAGTTCTGGTCGTGCTTCATTCAATAGGAATCGAACATATCTGGCCCGCCCGCCATCGCCATAATAGGGAGTGCCATCGGTGTAATAGTAATCGAGAATGATGATGGCAGCTGCAGCTGCTGCCGATGAGATCAAGAGCATCAAGTGTGATGCTGCCAAGGAAATTGTTGTCTCTGGGGAGGACATGTTGAATAGTGATGTGAGGACTTGAGGAGGATGTGGAATCGACCAGGGGATGCGTGTGATGACAAGATGAAGAAGGGTGTGTGGTACACGTTTATGGAATTGGTAATTTTCGGTTCCGTTTTAAAAAAAGCGCAAAAAAAAAACGGGTCCAAATCGATTTTCAAATTGGCAAGCGCTGTGGTACGCGCCCTAACATATTTTAACCAATTTTAATTTCAGCTTCAGTCGGGTGAGTATGTACTTAACTTAACGAAGCCCCTCTGTTTCCGGAGGGGGGAGGGCGCTGTCCCGTAGTGAGCCTCCCTTGGCCTCGCCACCGGGAAGGCCTTTATGATGACCGGTACCGGTCAAACGGAGCCGATGAAGTTAGGTCAAACCCGGTCATCAAGAGGCCGATCACCATTGATGGTCGGCTCACGGACCGGGCATTGAAAGAAAGCACTCTGTAGCTCCGGGTTGACCGGTTGTGAACCAGATCATACGTGAGTGCCCGGTTCCCTCTGTTCGCCGAGTTACATTTGTCCGGGAACCAAGACCGGACGAAAGCTACGAAAGGGCTAGCGAATACCATCGGAGCAGGTTGGTGGTTTGTCAACGATTTGGGAAACAGGACCCGAGTCCATAGACATTGTTTAAAGCTGATCGATATCCTCATTAACAATATTTCATAGCGTATCAGCTAGTCGTCACGTTTATACTTTGCTGAGTCCAAGGCCAAGTCGTATCGTTAGTCCGGCCACGCGGAAAGACAGCTCAAGGGGATCCCATCATGTCTGATTCGGAATCAGACTTCTCTCTAGATCCAAACACGTCTGGTCAGTCAGCCTTTGAACCAAATGATTTTCCCAGTGCTCTTGATGTGTGTCCCGAAGCTGAAAAAAAAAAAAAAAAAAAAAACTATTATAAATAAATATGTAGGGCTCATCGGTACCTTAGAGTTCATGATCGATGAAAGCAAATTTCCATTGGACCTTTATGACTACCAGAAAGTGGACGTACAATCGCCCGCAAAACTGGGGCAGAACGAGGAACTCTTGAACGGAACGAAGCATACGAAACTGCTACTTTCGATCAAGGAACAACTCAATTCGCTTGTTGCAGCTCTCGGCTTACTCGATCCCACTGAAGAGCCGATCCCAGACATTGACTTGGCTTTGATGTTCGCATCCACTCTTGATGAAACTCTACATACCTTTGTATGGGCTCGGTCGAAACGAGGGACGAAAACCACAAGAATCTCTTGAAACATCTGAAAGCTTTCAGATTCTCTCCCTTACATGATCAAATCTGTGACTTGATCAAATTCGACATCAATATGCTATTCGAATGGTACCTCTTATTCATTGAGAGTTACAAGCGACCAAGTAAGCTTAGTGCAGAAGAGTCTGAACATCAAGCCAAAAGGGGACAACGAATAATCGAAGGTGTAACCGATTGCGATCGTGCGATTGATGACATAATCAAATGGTCCAAACGCTCCGATTTTGCCATTCTCCGACAGGGCTGGCTAAAGACAATCGAATCACTCAATGAAACATCAGAACGCATAGAAATCCAACTCAATCCCAAGGGGAAACTTCCTCGAATTGCTGGTGCAGATGATCAAAGACGGGCCGAAGATCGACACGCTGAGGAAATTATCTCTGGGGCGGGAAAATCGGTCATACTCTTGCTCAAGTTGACCCGAATTCTGTCAAAGAAATTAATGGAAATCACCAAGAACAACTCGCCTTTGATTTTGGATTCGAAGAAGATTGATTGTCGGGCGCTTAACCTCTTAGCCGACGAACCTGATTCAATGAGTCGGGCTTTCGACGACTTTGCGAATTTTGCTCAGTTCAGCTTTCGCCCGATTCGCAATTTAGCTTTGATTCGGGCTCAAGTGAACCTCTCATCAGAAATCCTAGAGCCCATCTTCCTCGTCCTAGACTCTCATGTCATCACTTTGGAGGACGGGATCGATCATTCATCAGCCAAAGATCACTTCAATGCTTGGTCTCTCAATATGAAAGATCTCTGGCATAAAGCTGCCAATCGTTTCCTGGAGGACTTGACTGTCGATGATGATTGGGGACCACCTTAATATATCAATTAGTCCATCAGACGACATGGCACACTCTCTTAAAATATCACTCGAAATACGGAACACGATATATAAAATAAACCAAGTGCTTGGTGGGATGTGGGCCCCTTCTTCTTAAACGTTATCAGATAATCATCAGTCATGAACAAATGCT